ATATTTTTTGTACAGACAAGGTCTTGCTGTGTTGCCCAGGCTGATCTCAAATTTTTGGCTTCAAGCAACCTTCTTGCCTCAGTCTACCGAAGTGCTGGAGTTACAGGCATGAGCCATCATGGCAGGCCCTAAAAATAAATTTAAAATGTCAACTGGGATGTGTTTGATCTCCCAACAAAACAATAAACAGTTTTATTTTTCTGTCACAATTTACCTTGTCACATATTAGCCACCACCATATTTATTCCAATTAACTAGAGTAATATACCTTTCATTTAAAATGAATGAGGGGAGGGATAGCATTAGGAGATATACCTAATGTAAATCATGAGTTAACGGGTGCAACACATCAACATGGCACATGTGTACATATGTAACAAACCTGCACATTGTGCACATGTACCACAGGACTTAAAGTATAACAAAAAAAGAAAAGAAAAAGATATTTTGAAAATGAAAATAAAATAAAATGAATGAATGCCAGAAGTAAAGCTCTTAAAATATAGCTATCACCTTTTATAGAATGGAAATATGGGATTACACATCAGGTGCTATGAAAATGTACATGATATCTCTTGAATACACAAACCCACTGAGGGAATTATTAAAGAAACACTTCACTAGAAGAGTAAATGTGAAGACATACATTGAATATTTATTGCCATGCTATCTAGAATTTATATGAATATGTTTTTAAACTTAAATTGGGACACACAAACGGATAAGAATGAGTATACTGGTGAAATTAGAGCAGAAGAATATTTAAAACTGGAATTATTTCAGAATCTGTGAAATGTACACCTGTTGTTCATAAAAGAAATATCCACATGCCCAGCTATCTGTGGTAGCCTCTAATGATCTTCCCTTCTTGCTACTTGTCCTTGGTGTATGCTCTCGTGTAGATCTCTCCCACACTGAATCAGGCAGACTAGTCTCTGTGACCAATAGTATACAGTGTTAATGATGGTGTGTGACTTTCAAGCCTTGGTCATAGGAGACATTGCAACTTCTGCCTTGGTTTCTTGGAGGCCTTGCTCTTGGGAGGTCCAGCTACCATATAGTAAGGATACTCAAGCAGCTCCTTGGAGAGGCCCACATGGAGAAGAAATTGACAGCCAAGTTGATAAGCCACTTTGCAAGGGATCCTGCATTCCTAATCAAGGCCTTCAGTTAATAATACCCTCAGTCAACATCTGACTGCAAGTCCATCAGCAGCCAAGAGTCAGAAAATCCCAACGAGACCACTCCCAGATTCCTGACCTGCAGAAACTAAGAAAGAATGAGTAACTGAGGTGTTCAAAGTCACATAACTTTGGAATGATTTGTTATGCAACAACAAATAACTGATACATACTATATATTAATGTGTTGAAATATTATGTTATCAAAAGATACTGTTTACAATTTTCCTTCTTCATTCATTTATTCTGTCAGTAAGAAATACGTTAAGAATTCCTTGACTCATACCATGTAGTGCCATGTCTAATGCCACTGCCTATTCTTATCTGGACTAAAACAGTCTCTCAGTCTCTTTACTTTGATTCTTGTTTTTCTAGAGTCTATTCTCCACACAAGAGCCTGAGTGGTGTTTATAAAGCATAAATGAGATAATATCACCCTTCCCCTGAGTAACCTCTTCAAAAGTTTCTAATTGCACAAGGAATAAAATCTAAATTCTTTGGCCTACAAGCCCATGCATAACTTGGCCTTTGCCTGCCTTTCTCAGTCCCATCTTCTACTCTCGTTTATAATCTCATTTGTATCTCATTCATAAGACTGAGCAATGAGCTTAATGCAGGTTTCTGGGTTCAAAGAAGCCAAGCTTGCTGTACTTCCAGTTCCCGCCACCTGGAGCACTCATACCCCATACCCTTATATGCCTGGCTCTGATCAAAGATTGCCTGCTTGTTAACCTGCTTACTTGTTCACTGTCTGTTTACACACACACACACACACACACACACACACGTAAATACACACCATTATTAAGTCCCTGAAAGCAGGGACATTTTCTGCTTTATTCCTTGTACCTTGAACAGCATCTGGCACTTAATGAATGATTAATTTTGTGGAATGAATGGATGATCGGTGTCAAAATATACATAACTAGAAGCAAGAACTAAAACAGAACATATGAATGAAAATAACTGGGTTTAAATGGAGGAAATGTGTTTTCTTTTCAAATTTGTTTTTAATATCTTTGTTATATTATTTTTTAAACCCTCATATGCAAAAAATTACCTATGTTGAAGTAGAGTTAAAAGATTGGTTAAAAATACTATTTATAGTTACTTTCTAGGGCTGCTAAGGATTTTTTTTTTCTTCTCATGTTGCCTTATCTTTTGATGCTCCAGTTATTTAAGACTCTTCACTGGGAATTTTCTAGAAGACCTTAAACTGGAAATAGTCCTCACTGCCTAGCTTGTATAACTCACTGAACTTCACTCTACTGGACATTTTCCTAAGATATAAGTATTCTGAATTCTCCACTGGGAGCCCCTTGCAAATGAATCACGGCTGAACCAATTCTGACATCTCACACTGTTCCCAAAAGAGAAAGAAGAAATTCTCTATGCTGTTCATGTTTATGGAAACTTCTCACAAGTATTAAACCATTGCCGTTCCGGAAATGTATGCCCACTCAACCCAAGGTGCTTTCTTGGGTGTTGTGAATAGAAACAAAGACATTTATTTATTGAGTCAATCTTTATTCCTCTCTCCTCCCAAAATGATTTGAAATTGCTTGCAGTAAGAAGACTTGCAAGAAGGAAGAGGAAAAGGAAGAAGACGACAAAAAAAAAAAAAAAAAGAAGAAGAGCAAAGAGTGAAGGGAGGAAAAGAAGGAGAAGAAAAACTTGAGGATGACTAAAATGTCAACAGAACTAGAAAACTGTGGCCAGGTAGAAGAAGAACAACATCATGAGAACCAGCATCACCAGAATGTTGGTGATCCTTGTAGATAAATGTCAAACTCATCTCTGTTTATAAGACCTGACTCCTGCCTTCTGAAAGCTTCTATTAGCAGGGGAATTAAGATATGGACATAAATCATCAAAGAGGTGAAAGAAAACATTGATCCTAACTACAATGGAACATTGTGAGTGTATATGTGGCTCTTGAACGATACAGGACTGCCTTGTAAGGATTCTGACTATTGTGTGAACTCCCGAACCACTGTCACAAAACACGCCTGTGGAAACATACGCTGATGCCACAAGTGTACTTTATAAGCTGGACCACAAAGGAGAGGCAGTGAGGTGGGTGAGTCTGAGTCTCAGCCCTACCACCAACCAGCTACATGACCTTTGTCGAGTCACTTAACCTTAGTTTCTTATCTGTAAAATGGGGATTGTAGGCTGCTGGCAGTGGCTCATACCTGCAATCCCAGCACTTTGGGAGGCCAAGGTAGGCAGATCGCTTGAACCCAGGAGTTCAAGACCAACCTGGGCAATGTATGAGACTCTGTCACTACTTTTAAAAAATACAAATAATTTTTAAAACAATAATAAAATGGGGATGATAATCATACTGGACTCAGAACGTTGTTGTATGTAAGGAAGAAATGAGTTAATACAGAAAATATACTTAGAACAGCATCATGGGACACAGTAACCCCTCCAACAGCACTGGAATCTCCATATGGCTAAAAAAGTGACCAAGTTAATTGCTTACCAATTTGAGCAATTAAATTGCTAGCAATGAAACTTCACGCTAAGTTTAGCAATTTTCTGTAGGGAATGGATTTTTAGTGAGGACATGAGTGTCATATGTGTGTTTTCCATTCAGCATTTAGCCTGGACTTCTAAAATAGAGCAGTGAGGGTATTTCAGGAGACTTTGAATTATTAATCTAGAATGGATCTGAGATGTCCACCACTCAATCCTGGTGTAGATAAACAAATTGGGGTTGGGCAGGGATGGCCAATGTTCCATAATAGTGCAAAGCGAGGACCCAAGATGGACGCTTGATTCTTGGTTCTTTGCTCTTTCCACAAAAAGGTATGGACTAGACTGGGACTTATTATTGAACTCTTGACTTGCCAATCATTTTGAAGGCATTTTAATTGATGGGGAAAGTCACTCATTAAATACATATCCATTGTGCTTCTACTATGGCAGGAACTATGCTGGATACTGGCACTAAATTAATGAGCAACAGAGATCTGATTCTAATACTTATAAAGATCCCACTGTAATGGGGGAGGCAGACATTCATCAACCGATCACACAAATAGATGCCAATGGCAAGAATTAAAAAGTCTACAAAGTCTTACGCACATATTTCAAAGAATTTGACCCACTAGAAGAGGTCAAGGGAGGCTTACTTTAGGGAATGACACTTAGGCCTAAATCTGAAGGCTCAGTGGGAACTAACAGGTCAAGGCTGAGGGAAGGAGAGAAAATATGAGTGCTCCAGAAAGAGGAATCACCAAAGATCCTGCGACAGATGGGAGAACAGAATACGTGGGTGACTGGAGTACTGGAAGTGGAGGGAAAGGGGTGTACAACAGGATGAGTTAGAGAAGCAGGCAGGGGTCAGCGCCAGGCAGGCCTTGAAGATGACATTTGAGATTTTGGTTTTCATATTAAAAGTAGGAAGCTATTACAGGTTTTATTCAGAGGGATGCCATGATCAAAATTTGCTTTTTAAAAGATTAGCCTGCTATAGGATGTTAATTGAAGGAGACCAAGAGTAGGCCCTGGGAGGAGAGTTAGAGTGATGGCAGCATCAACTGAAAGATGTGGAAGGATTTAAGACATAGAGGTGTTCTCACTGTAACTCAGTGACAGGTTAGTCTAGAGGGGTAGAGGAGAGGTAATGGGAGGTAGGATGTTATTCAAGGAGTCTGTTTAATGGAATCAGATGATTATAGAGAGGGGGTCATTCATTAGGAGAGGGAATACTGACAGAGAACTGCAGGTTCAGGGGGAGGAGAGAGAAAAGTGGCACTGACCACAGTACCAAATTTGGGGAAATGTTAAAAAAGACTTGAAACTCAATTTAGGTTTTTTACTATTTTATTATGGCACACAGGATAGAGTATGGTACAGTTTCCTTACTTCAACCAAGTAATTCTCAAAGCATCCAGTTATTTCCATTTGGCTAAAGTTACTTTTTGCATGTAGCTTGCATCTGTTTGAGACTTGCCATGTACATCATCCCAGGTCTAGTAAGCAGAAATGTGGAAAGCTTTGTTTCTGAGGAGACACCTCATCTTTACAGAAGCCAATACACTGAGAGCCTTCATAGTTTCAATCCATACCATCATGACAAAGAAGCACTTTACCTATTTGCACAGCAACCTATATTTAACTAGAAATAGGTAGTACAAAGGGATTAAGTAACTTTAATGGAGACCACTTTGGTTTCAGTTTAAATTCATAACTTATAAAGATCGTCTAAAAAACAAATATTGAATGAAATTAGCTGACAAAGCAATTGTTTTAGAACAAAGGCAGAATAGCAGATACTCAGTAATATCATCTATATTTATTCCACATCAAATGCAAGTGCAAGAGCGTTCATAACTTTACAATGGACAGAGAGGACAGATGGGGTGTGTATTTGATGCAATGTCCAACCAGTCAAGCTATCATTGAAATCCAAATATTTCCCAATAGAGACATGCAGAGCAATGTCAATGTAACATACAAGCATATTACCTCCCCCCTTAAGTGACTCGTAATTTCATTACTTGTGTCTGTAGCTTTTACAGGTTTAAAAATGTGTGGCATCAAATGCTATTTACTTGAGGCAACAGAATTACGCTTAACAAACACTAAATCATGAGCGCAGGATTGCAGGCAACATGTTTGCAGTGGAGTGGCAAATAACCTTTGGTAGTTTTAATCCCTTCTCCTGAAATTATATGTAGATAAAAAATTATTCCTTCTTATTGTACCATGTTCTCAGGTTTTAACCTCTGCCCATGACATTTAGACTATATTTTAAAATGCAGTTATAGGAATGAAAGTATGGGATTCATATTCTATCCATATTGCATTATGACATATCAGTTTGAAATGACCTATTTATCCTGGTTCCATAGTGTAATGGTTAGCACTCTAGACTCTGAAATGACCTATTTACCATAAAGAGTATATCTGTCAAATAATTTCAGAATTGCTCCCTAGAAAGCCATCCCAAAACCTGACACAGCCCGTGTTATGAGGCAAATTCTATTGTTATTTATAGACTTTCTCATTTACTCATGTTTATTATCAGTAACATTTTTGTGGGGAGAGATTTCATGAGTAATCACGACCTAACTGTATCCCTCAGAATTTCCAAAGAAGGAATTAAAAAAAAGCATTGGTAATTGTTAAAATTTTGACTTTTTAAAAAACTGGAGGTCAATAGTCCACTGGTATATACTTTATATTGGTGCCATCTTTAAGGTATTTTAATTAATAACCACAGCAAAAAAAATACATCATTCGGTATAACTTTATTTACTATTTATTGCACATAACTCAGGGTCTTTAATTGCTAACCACCAAAGGTTCAAAAGACTATTTTTCCATGAAGTTTAACATTAACATTAGCGAATTCATTTACTCATGTGGTGTTTTTTTATTGTAAACATCTGAATGATTCACATTGCCGTAGATCCTGAACTCATAAGCGTGGACCATGCACAGGCTGGCAGCAAGCCAGAAAGCCACTCTGCAAGCAAACAGATACTCTGCATAAAGAGGAAATTCATAGCACAACATTGAATGTCCAACCTAAGTCATCTCAGAATTATACATATATTGACTTTTTAATTCACATAGGATCTGGAACTCAACTGGTTGGTTGGTTGGTGATGGGGTTGACCTGATTTCGGGAGAATTATTCCTGAAATAATTAAGGAAATGGGGGTTCAATCTTTCTTCTTAGCTGCTTGTTCCTCCCCAGCACCTTCAACTTTCTTCTCCTCCTCTTCAGCTTCTTTGGTTTCCTCTCCTTCTTCACCTTCACCTCCTTCTTCTTCTTCTTTTGCTTCTTCAGACTCTTCCTTGGCAGCTTTAACATAAAAAGAAAATGTACAAAATCCAAATCCAGGGTCAGTCCAGTCAAAACATGTCTGCAAAGGTTTTATCTGCAAACACAATTGTCAGAATGCTCACCAAAACCTCCCAGCTCCAAAAGCACATGTTAACAGACAATGCTTGCCATGAATAATTTGCCACTGAACACATATTTAAATTGAATGAGATCACTCCTAGGTATGGGAAACTCTGCTCCTCTCTAAGACTGAACCTCAATATTTCTTTCATTATGTGTCTGGTATCTATTTTTGTTCTTTAGGACACCAACCTGCTGTGTTAAATGATTATATTAAAAAATGAAATTTTTGACCAATTACCTCATTCAGAGTAAGTGCCTTAGGAAAGGTTTGCTGAACAAACAGAAAAATTATTTATGATTCTAATGTCATATATGGCAAGGCTTCATTTGTCTTATCTACCTCCTAACAAATCTGCACACGCAGTTTGCACTTGAAGTTGCAGGGGTTTGTTTCTTATCATACCTTCTTCCTCTTCAGCTGCCTCCTCTTCCTCGGCCTCTTCCTTGTCCTTCTCCTCCTCCTCGGCTTCTCCTTCAGAGGGGGGCTCATCCTTGGCTTCCTCAGCCTTGGCAGCCTCAATGGTTTCCTCCACTTCAATCTGCTCCTCTTGGACATGGCTGGTGTAGTAGGACGGGAAGGAGCGAGTGGACATCAGATAGGAGCTGGTCTGTAAACCACCGTAGGCAGATCGGCCAAAGACCTGGGAGCTCTGGGAGTAGCCACTGGTTATGCTTCCCACGCTGGTGAAACTGAGTCGGGTCTCCTCACCTTCCAAGAGTTTCCTGGGGATGCAGATAGAAGGTGAGGTTAAAAAACACCTGTGTTTCACAACTTGCTCTGAGCACCCTAAAGACAAAGGCAAGCAGGAGCAGGGTTGGGATTTATCAAAACTTAATGCCTGGGGATTTTTTTGATGGAGACCAGAAAAAAAAATTAAATCATCCTATTAGATTTAAAATGTAATGAGAAGCTAAAAACAGGACTCCTAATTACAGGGTTAAATTCTTATATATCTAAATACCTTCTTGGAAGAAGCCAAAAACTAACACTTCATTATTTCAATAGGACTATTCTTGAAGGTTTCTGATCCAACATAACTTTAAATGGGATCTGATTTTCTTCCTAAGGTTTAATGGCTGCTATCTTTGCCCCTCTGTTTTCACCTGTAAGCTGCAATCTCAATATCCAAAGCCATCTTCACGTTGAGGAGGTCTTGATATTCTTTTAGGTATCGTGCCATTTCACTCTTTGTGGTCCTCAATTCATTTTCTAATTTGTTGATCGTGTCCTGTTTGAAGACAAAAATTAAAAAAAAAAAAATCCAAATCCCGTCTATTTTACTGTAGTGTAGTTGCAAAGGCCTAGTTTCGATTAAAATCAAGGTGCACACAAGGTGATAAAATCTCCCCTAGAATAACTTCCTGTATCTTTTTAAAAACCTTCTTGCCTAAAATACCCAAGTTCATGAAGCCTGAGATGAAAAAAAAGATAGAAGAAAATTCTGTTCTTCTATTTCTTTACTTAATACTGTTTAATGATCATCATAAAATGCCTGCAAACAAACTAAGTTGATAGAAAAACTGCGTTTCTCATTCACTGATTAACTATTCTTTAGCTGGGTTACATGCCAGGAAACTAACGCCTTTCTTTATAGGAGAATAGCCAGATGTCAAAAAAAAAAAAAAAAAAAAAATTCTAAAATATTTCCTATGTATCTAAATTATTTTTTCTACTCCCAGAAAAGGAAAAAAATTTCTACTCCCAAAAGAAGAAAAAAATGTCTACTCCCCAGAAGATGGAGATCTTTCAAAATGGACATCTTTTTAAAAATTTATTTTTTCTACTCCCCAGAAGATGGAGATGTTTAAACAGAAATGTTGTAGAAGATTTTACACATTAAAAAAAAAAAAAAGTTAAAGAAATGCTTTACTATGAATATCACTAGTTAACTACCTAAAACAATGTTGACTATTTTCCTGTCTACCTACTAAATAAAGGAAGGGAGTGGTTGGTAAAACTAGTCATAAAGCATGCTGGTCACAGTAATCTTTCAGAATTAATTGAGAGTTGTTCACTCTACTATTTATTAACCAGATGATCCCATAGTTGCTGCAAAGTAACTTGTAGTTAATGCAGGTCAGTAGACAGCAGATCTCACTGCAGGCCGGAGGCAACGCCCAATTCCCATGTCTTCCCCTCCCCCACCCAACAGGGGCTGGGCAGCTTTGATGCGGAACGCGGGTGCAGCAGCACCGAGCACACTCCCAGACTACAGTCGTGCCCTCACTGACACCCTCCAAGTGCCCCACCCCTCCCACACAGTGGCCAAGGAGCCAAGCCCTATCCCTAAGAGCTGCATGCAGCCGCACCACCCCTAGTCTCCACTTCCTGGGCGCACCAACTCTCCCCCTTGCTCGAGTCCCCCGCCCCCTTGTGTTTCGGGCGGGTGCCTCACCTGCATAGCGCTGATGTCGGCGTTCTGCTTGTCCTCCAGCTCCTGCAGCTGCTTCTCCAGCGCTTCGTTCATGCCCCGGCATGCTTCGATCTCCAGGGTCTTGGCCTTGAGCAGACGACGGCTCTCGGACACCTCGTCCTTGGCTGCGCGCACGGCGTCAGTGTTCTTGGCGGCGCTCTCGGTCAGCACGGTGAAGCGGCTCTTGAACCACTCCTCGGCATTCTGCATGTTCTTGGCGGCCAGCTTCTCGTACTGCGCGCGGATGTCCTTGAGCGCAGCGGAGAGGTCGGGCTTGGACACGTCCATCTCCACGGAGATCTGCGCGTACTGGATCTGAGCCTGCAGCTCGGCGATCTCCTCTTCGTGCACTTTCTTCAGAAAAGCGATTTCGTCCATCAAGCTGTCGATGCGCTTTTCGAGCTCGGCGCGAGCGAGCGCCGCCTCGTCGGCGCCTTTGCGCGCTTCCATCAGCCGGCCCTCGGCGTCCTCGCGGCTCAGCACCTCCTCTTCATAGCGTGCCTGCAGGTTGCGCAGGGTCTCTTCCAGCCCTTCGCGCTCGCCCTGGAGCGCCTGCTTCTCGTTGGTAGCATCTTCCGCCGCCAGGCGCAGGTCGCGGATCTCCTGCTCGTACAGCGCCCGGAAGCGGGATGGCTCGGAGTGCTTCTGGCGCAGCACCAGCAGCTCGGCTTCCAGGACCTTGTTCTGCTGCTCCAGCTCGTGTACGCGCTCGATGAAGCTGGCGAAGCGGTCATTGAGGTCCTGGAGCTGCGCCTTCTCCTGCGTGCGGATCGACTTGAGGTCGTTGCTGATGGCGGCTACCTGGCTCAGGTCGAGGTTCTCCAGGCTGGGCATCAACGATCCAGAGCTGGACGAGTAGCTGCGGCGCACGGACAGCGAGGAAGACACCGGCGCCGAGTAGCTGGAGTAAGCGGAGCGCGCGGTGCTGTAGCCGCTGCGCACGCTGGAGATGTGCACTCGGGGCGTCTCCACGTAGCGCCGCTTGTAGGAGGTCGAGTAGTACGGCTCGTAGCTGAAGGAACTCATGGTGGCGGCCGGTGGCTCCCCGGCCCGCGGCGGCGGTGGGAGCCCGGAGAGAGAGGACAGGGGAGAGAGGGAAGTGGGAGGATGTATGGCTGTGTGCGGCTAGGCGCCGTCCTGCCACCCCTATTTATACGCCGGCAGGCTCCTGACGCAGCCTGCGATCGATCACTGCGCGCCGGCCAGTGGGGGCAGCGCGCTGCTGCAACCAAGGCAAGGATTCTGCGCAAAAGGGAAGGCGGGGGCGAGCTACGGCCAGGGTAGCTGCGGCGCTCGTCCTTTCCACTTTGCTCAGAGGCCCCTGATTTTCTCAGAGATCCCATGCCCCCTTACTCATTTCCCTTCTGTGCCCACCCACGCAGCCCCTCCCGTTCTACATCGCCCAGACCCCGTGACACTTGGATCCTTAAGTGTCCCCAAAACAGGTTCTTGCTCCCTTTTGACACTCGAGTTTTCGGTATCCCGGCACCTCGCACACACCCTGTCCCCCCAACTCTCCCTTTTCTCACCAGGGACCTCCTTAATTATTCCCCTTGGTGTATATGGTGATAGTGCCGCTAGGGGATTTTACATACAAATAAATAGGCTAGGTTGTGTGTATGCAGTATGTATGGAGAAGTTTTAATTTCTTTCCAGTTTTCTGGCACTTTCTGCAATTCATTTTCTTTCTCCTGATTTTTTTTCTTTTTCTTCAATGCGCTGCTTCTCAACATATAGGGAATGTGCGCGCGAGTGCGCGCGGGCGCGCGCACACACACACACACTCGTGAAACTGCGGCACTACTGCAGGTGTTGGTTTAGCATTTCTAAACCTTTAGAGCAGTTAATCCGCCTGTTGGTGTTTCTAGATTTTCACATTTCTTAATTGGGAATGAAGCCGCGGATGCTTTTAACGTGTTGCAGTGTGTGGGTGGCGAAGGGCAGAGAAAGAGTTGGAAGCTAACACGGAGACTGACTTGCTGAGGCAGCCGCGCGCTCCGCGGCGGGGAGCTTCAAGGTGCCTGGATCCTCACCAAGCTAAATTCCTGCTTGCTTCCACCAACCGCAGCACGTTTAAAGTCCGCTTCCGTCTTTTTACACATGTGTAGCTCACAACCTGATGATTTCGACAAGCCTTGCAGGTGGCTGATTTTCAGGGAAGCCGCTGCGGCCAGCCCTGAGCGCCGGGTGTGGTCTCAGGGGAGGAGAGCTCCGCACCCAGGCTTGTTGAGGAACAGATAGAAAATAGCTATAGCCGCGTGATTCTTCCCCCGATACACTGTAATAACCCGAAAACAGATGCAGTCAGGATTGCATGGATTTCCTTCAGGAAGCACCCAGATACCTGAAACTGGTGCACGCTGTAGCGCACGTGGATACAGCCATGCGGTTTGCAGGGCATTTTCACATGCGTGATGTTAGGAGTCCCCCGGGTTTCATGGAGGGATTGCAGAGATTTACGGGAAACACCTAAGATTTATCTAAGCAAGCATTTAGTTTTTGTTTTGTTTGTATATCGCAGCATTTGATGTGCAACTTATGTTTTTTTAAAGAGGCAAACTGAGGGGAAATATGGTAACTGTTTTCAAATAGAGAAGCCGGAATGGCTTCCCCTGTGATACTTGGAGGGTGAAGTACTTGCAGCGGTGCAGTTGCTTCTGGAGACATTTCACTCCTCTCCCGAGGAAAGGATCGGGGGGGAGGCCCTTTCTGACCCCCCCCCAAAAAAAACCTTTGATTGTGATAGCCCACCGTCCTCATGATAGAAAGACTGCAGCAGATAACTTTCCTTGGGTTTCTAAACAATGTCTGTTGTCGCAAATAATGCAAATTCAGAAATATTGAGATTAGTAGTTTAAATCTATCAAGACTAAGTGATCTCAGAGGACCATCCATGTCCATATATTCTAGACTTCAAGCCTAAGGTCATGAGGCTGTCCTGAATATTGTTTGTCCCTGGCAGACTTGGTAGGTTACTTACTCTGTTGACTTTTCATAGCCTACCTATCCTTGGTCTTTTCACTCATCAAATTCAAGAGTGGAATAGGCTTCTGTGGGGGCGGGGGGTGCAGCAAGGACCTAGATAAGCCATAGAGTCTCCTCCCAACTACCCATATGTAGATGAAGCGTGGCAGAATGGATTGTTTTGTTAACCTGCTCCCTGCAAACCACCTTGTTTCACACGCAGTGTGTGTGAGTCTGCATAAAACACACTCTCAGGTATTTATGAATGCATTTACTTTGTGCCAGCTCTCTTTCCCGGGAGTTTCAGGTCACCCTCAGACCTTAAGTCCATCAGCGTTTTTTTTTTCTTTTTTTTTTTTCTCTTTCTTTCTTTTGTTTTCTTTTTTCCGCGGCTCCTCCCTGAAGCCTTTGACTGCAGAGTAGGCTGCCCAGAAAGGAGAGGGGCGGCGGGTGCTGCAGGGGGATGCTTCGGAGAGAAGAAACCACTGGGGCACCTGCTGCCTGCCGTCCCCTGGATAGCTGGAAAAAAGGAATACAGGAGCCGAGGGTGAGAATGGGACCCTTTCCTGTGCTGAACCTGGCCCACAGAGTGGGGGAAGGGGCAGATCCACCGCGTTTAGGCTTATCAATCTCTGGTCTTTTTTAATAGCTCCTGGCCTGGCCACCTCATACTCCATGACAGCCTTGCTTTGCCGGACTCCTGAACCCAGCCTGGGTCTGGGTTTTGGTTACCCTACCTTCAGTCTTCCTCTGCCAGGTGCCTGCCTCTTCTTTAATATTCTGTCCAGTCATCCTCCTTTTTGAATCCTCTTCCCAGCGTTTTGCTCTAAAAGCCCACATGGCATTGCTTTGTGTGGCAAAGCAAAGTGAGCAACTTTAGAAAACCTATTTAGGAAGAATACATATATTGACTTTTCCTTTCCCTTGCCATAAGTGTTTCTGATTAGTGCTGTTTATAGTAGAGTTGCAGTCTCTTTAGAAGGAGGCTTTTGAGTCTTGTCACACCCTTATGCATTTATTCCCCTTTAAACTTATTCTCTGCAAACCTGAACTTGGTTGAGGGCTGTCAACAAAACGTGCTCCTGGGAGATTAAAAATGTAGAAGTATGTTGATGACCCCTTTAACAGAATTCCTACCACTCTGGTTATCCCTAATACTTCTGTAACCCTCTAAAGAACTGTCCCAGCTCATTTAGTTAAAAAGTAAATGTCTTCACATTAATAATAATTTTTAAAAACCCCATAAGGCATAACTCTTTTAGAAACACTGAAAACACTTGACTTCTTCTCCAGTGCCAGCAGAGTCTGAAAGCTTCAGATAGATAGGACCTGGCAACTGATGACTTTTCATTTTATTATTCTAAAGCTGTTTGGGAAAGCAGGAAGTTCTATATTGGCATGTGTTTTTGTAAAGGTCAGCTATAGAGTAGGGCCCATGAAAAGCCTCAGTCCAGGGGTCAAAGGAGCCAAGTTCTCCTACCACCAATAAGCTCTGGCAGAAGTCCTAGGATAGAACAGCAGATGAGTCGGCCAGGCACGGTGGCTCATGCCTGTAATCCCAGCACTTTGGGAGGTGGAGGCAGGTAGATCGCAAGGTCAGGAGTTTGAGACCAGCCTGGCCAATATGGTGAAATCCCGTCTCTACTAGAAATACAAAAAAATTAGCCGGGCTTGGTGGCACATGCCTGTAATCCCAGCTACTCGGGGAGGCTGAGGCAGGAGAACTGCTTGAATCTGGGAGGCAGAGGTTGCAGTGAGCCGAGATCGCACCACTGCACTCCAGCCTGGGTGACAGAGTGAGACTCTGTCTAAAAAAAAAAAAAAAAAAAAAAAAAAGAACAGCAGATGAGTCTCCATCCATCTCACCACCAGGTAGATACATTAGCGTCACCAAAGCTGGCATCAGCATGTGGATGCAAGGAAACCCAGTAAATAAACTCATGCAAGATACCTACTATATAACACGCATTTGCTGTCTTGTATTGAATAATGACAAGATCACCTGGGGATGTTTACTATTATTCAGAGCAAACAGCTGAGGCCCAGAGAAGTAAGTAATTTGCCAACTCACACAGCTCCTTCAAACCTAAGCTCTACGTGCTTTCCAGACTGAAGGTTCTACTCATTCCACAAACTGCAGCCATTGACATTTACTGCTTCCTTATGTCTCTGTGGACTTTGATAAGCGAAGTCTGCCATCTGCAGAGTTTAGCGTGCATATAATAAACCTCTCCTGCTTTGGGGACACCAATTGCACTCTTCTGCACCATGAGGAAACCATTAATGAGCGTGCTCTATTTGGGCAGCTAGTGGCAGCAAAAAACTACATGATTGTTGTAGGTTTCTCAAATATCCCCATGTAAAATAAAATGGGTGCGGCCAGTGGAACATGACACGTAACTGGCATTGTAACATTGTAGATACAACGCTAAACATCAATTTACAAAACACCCTTTCAGGAATTAATAAGCTGAAATGCAAATTAGCTGACCTAACTCTTTAAAATAGTCACACCATGACTTCCACATTTTTTTTCTAATTATAGTATCTTCATTTTCCACACTTGTAAATGGGTTTTCTTTGGAAATGTGACCTTAAAAATTGCTCTAAGGAATAAAAGAAAAAAAACGCTGGCACCGAACACCTCATTATTGGAGTTTATAATGCTTTCTGCAAGTCTTTAACTTTCTCAAAAGCAGCATGAATAAAGTCAATAGAAATATATAGCTTGTTGAAACCACAAAGATCTTTCATCTCTGTTTCTTGTAGCCAGTTTATTTCTTTGTATATTTAGCTCACCACAGGAATTATGCATGAATCTCCTTCATCTCTTGGGAAATATGTTTGTTTGAAAGAAAACTTTTCCCATTTTAATATCAAGTATGCCTATTTTACAGCACCACGTTTTGAAGTGATACATCATAAAGTATGCTATGTGGCTATATAAGATTTAGATTGCAGCAGGAATGAGAATGTCATTTGAATAGATTAAGGATGGAAAGCACGTTTATATTCAGAACACGTGCAGCATGAGAAATGATGGGAACTCACCATTGTCCAAGCAGAAATGATAGTGATAGGTTCAAACCCCTAAATGCTCGCTCCAGAAAAACTAGCCGAGGTAATGTGTTTTCTTCCCAGAGGCCTGCTCTACTATGCCTTGTCCTTAATCATAGTCACCAGACTCAGAGGTAAGAGGGTTACACTGGGGACGGCCATTTCAGGCAGGTCACAGGGATATCAGTTAGAGCCGACAGTACTAACCCTGTTTGTTCAGTTATGCTTTCCCGAGTGCAAGGAAATACATGCTGCTTCTACAATTCGGGCACTAATCAGCCACAAAATATATATATATATACACACACACACACACACACATACACACACACACACACACACACACACACACACACACACACATATATATATATATATATATATATATATTCCATGCAGCACTTGAATTTCTTTGCTGACCTTTACAGTGGTTTAATAAATCAACGGGAGGAATGTGAGCTTTAATGTTTGCAAAGATAGAGGATAAGCATTTCTGTCTGCAAGAGACAAAGCCCCGAGGTTGGCTCTTTCACAGCCACGCTGGATGCTGTCCAGGGCAGGAGTTCAGTTTCTCGCCAGTACTTCATTGCTGCATGAA